GCAAAATCAAGCCACTGTCTAGGAAGCATAGAATTTGCTGTCTCATTTCCCCTTATGGGTCTTACTGATACTAATGCAAACATTAGGTTAATTAACAAGAGAATACAGAAAGGCAGAGGGGAGAATCAAGGGACTCCTTCCAAGAAGGTGGAAATTTTTAAACATTACTTTGAAATGGGATGAATAAAGCAAACATTGATAAAAGTGAAATAAAGAGAAAAAAAGGAGGAGAATCATAGGACTCATCCCAGCAGGGGATGGTTTATTAAGAATGGGCTGAATAAAATGGACATTGATGGTGTTAAAAGATAAACTGAGGCACATTAAAAATGTTAAGAGTTTATATGAGCAAAAACCTATTTGAGTCAGGCAGCACCATACCAGAAATGGTTGAGTGCTCCACTGATGGGAGCTAGGGGAAAGAGTTTTAAGGTAAAGATGTGGAAGCAAAGTAAGGAAGTGATTCAGTTGGCCATAGCTTAAGTGGTTGCCTTCTTTGGGAAAGACTGTTGGCTGTTTGTGATTGGTTGTCCTCAGGTTTTGATTTCTTAACCTCGAGGCATTTACAGGCTTAGGTTTTTGTTTGCTTACAAAGGCTATTAAGGCATTAGAACCACTTCAGTCTAATGGCCTTCTTGCTTAATTACATTGAAAGTGGGATTAAAACTAAGGTCTTAATATAATACTCTTAAAGTTGGTTGGTCCAAAGGGATCCTTGGCTGGACCCCCAATATTAAAGGCCTCAAACAGTCCCTCAATTTACCACAGTTTGGAGAAATTTTAAAAGCCAAAAGGCAAAGGTTACAATAATAAACCTGACTTGCAAACCCTTGGGCAATAGGTTGAAAGCTTAATCAGGATCAAGATTGACAGAAGGGCCTAGAATCCTTTTTTTGACCTCCTACTGGGAGGTCAAAAGCCTTTTGCACATAAAAAAGTCATGGATTGGAGAAGTCCCTGAGACCCTTTGATATCAGAGCCCCACACACTGTGGTACCAAAACCCATTGGCAAAGCCATGACCAGAGCTAAAATTAGTTTGAGAGAACGTATGTAAAATGTAAGGGTTGGCAATATTATTAAAGTTGAATATTTAAACAGGCTTTATGAGAAGAAGCTGTGTCTCCTTTACCTGAATACCATAGGAATGAGTATTATGTCTGGCTGGACAAGACTTCCCCTACCTAGTATTATTAAATCAGAATCTATTGAAGTCCTAATGGAAGCTTCAGTTAGGAATATAAATGCGGATGGAATCAAGGTAAAAGCTTCCAGAACTGGTGCGGTTGGACAGGCATTACGTGAAGTAGCTGTGTCTATTTTACCTGATTGTACTGTGGGGACTGACCTTGTATCTCATGGGGGAATGTTTCCCCTACCTAGTGTTGTAAATCAGAAGGCGTGCAAATCTGCCCTTCAAACAGTGTTAATTGGACATGCTAAATAGGTACTAGTAAGATTGCCTGAGCCCACAGAGTGTAGCCTAGAGCTGGATGCTGGTAGAGACAAAGTCTCTGTGTGATAACCCTATGTGGAACATAGGCAGGGGCTTATGGCAAAAGCCTGTGAGTACCTCCCCTCAATGACTACTGAGATTTTGAAACAGAATTTCCGTTTGAGGAGCAATTACTAACTTGCCATTGGATATTAAGTGAAACTGCCACTAAACCTGAAATAACTATGATGTCTCAGGTGATGTTGGATAAATACTCTCATGGGGATTCCGCAGTGCCCAGAAGTTTTCCATAATAAAATGGAGATGGTTTATACAGGATCATGCTACCCAGGGAAAGCAAGAAGGAGATATTCTCAAGCTGGGAGCCTCTCTTCCCCCAGGACTAACTCTGGAACTGTGTGAGGAACTGCTGGTTTCTGTCATCACTTGGGCAGTGTCCTGTAAATAGCTCTTGACTGAACAACAAAGAGCTTTTTGGTTTGTGGTTGGCAGTTCCAAAGTGAATAGACATCCTATTTGGAATGTTCCATTCTGATTAAAGAAGATAAAAACAAATCAGCTTGGTGGGCTGAATTGCATGTTGTTTTTCTAGCTCTGGTAGAAGAATTGAACAGTGACGAAAGTCCCCGTGTTTTTTTTTTTTTAACTGATTCATGGGCAGTGGCCAAGTCGCCTGGCCATGTAATCAGACAGGAGGGCAGTGGAAACCTGGCCTATTTAAAGGGATGCCCATATGAGTCACATCCCTATGAAAATCACTGTGGGGATTTGAGGACATATTAAAGTAGGACATGCTGATGTCCATCAGAACTTCCTTCCAGGTTTAGAAGGTGACTGGAATCAACAAGCAGATATCCCTGTGTGATTGCTCAAAGTAGTCACCTGGGTCCATGAAATAAGTGGATATGGAGGTAGCAGCAATGCAGAGATGGACTGAATTTGGACATATTTTCTTGTACCCTCTGAGGCACAAAATGCCAATAATAACTCGTCTGCCTGCCAGCAAAAAGACGGAGACTGCAGATGGCTGTGTGGCTATGTGGAAAGGCCCTAAACATAGCTGGCAAGTCAGACTGATGCTGGTTGCTCTGGGTGATACAGACGGGTCTTGACAAGAATAGATATTGACTCTGGATTGGGCTTTGCTTGTTGAGTGGTAGAGCGAAATGGTCAGAGTACTATAAAAGAACTGGAACAGAAGATATTGCACCAATTTGAACTCTGAACCATATTTCTTCAGATCAAGGAACATACTTTATAGCTTCAAATATCCAACAATTGGCAGAGGGATATCCTCCCCAGAATAGTAGTTTGATAGAGGATTGGGACAACAAATTAAAACATTGGTTGTCTAAAGCAGGGGGGGGTGGAGATATAGCCATGAGGTACTGGCTTACCCACCTTCACATGGGAGTGTATGCTTGTATTCAAGAGGGGTGAGGCGAAAGGAGTGTCCCCACTAGACAGATTCCTCTGTGTTTCTGGTGGAGCTGGGGAAGAGCGAGTGGAGAAGGATCCTGGTGTGACTATGCGATTCTTGCCATGGTGGGGAGGATGCTGGTATAATGACTATACTTTTCTCTTTCTTCCCAATGTCATCTCAATTTTGTTTTTCCTCTACTCAATGCAATTTTCACAGGACCAAGGCTGTAACTACAAATGCTGGAAGCAGGGATGATTCTTAAGCAAGAAACTATGATTATACTTTCAAATCTTTATGTCAGAATTCCGAAGGCGTTAAGAGTGAATGCTACCGTATTACTTGGTGGTAAAAATAGCCCACTAGTTCTGCACCGATGTAACCTTATCCTATATAAATGGGAATGGACTAAGATGGAGTTAATTGCTACCCTAGTATTACTGCCTACAATCTAGACCAGCACAGTGGCTGAACATAGTATTCCTTCCGAAGGTGAAAAAGATTTGATATGAATGAAGGAATAGTAGCTGAGAGTAAATAAGTGAATAAGTGAGTTATTTAATGAGGGAAGTCCTATATTACATTAACACTTTAAAAGAGGTCCAGAGCAAGAGATGATATCGTCCTTTAGCTCAATTATACTAGATGCCTGAAAGGGTGAAGTTATAATATTATATTACTGAGACCATTCCTGCTTTTGGAACCTGACAGTGTTGAATAGAAGCCTGGAAAACCTAGTGGCATTGCCCTGGGGGCTAAATATTAATGACTGAGTGGAATGCTAGTAACGTGCCATATCT